CAGTTACAATAAACTCATCATGCTTTATTCAGCAAAATATGATACATAATATTTAGTTGTTCCTTGCTTCGGCTATGATGATCGTGAAAGTGAAACTAAGTGAACGGCCAAGACATGAAAGTAGTCCACATGCGCCCTCTGCTGGATAGATTGTACAATTATGCCTTTTGCAAGTAAGGACACGTCTTGTTCTCAGTGTTCATATCTGTGCTTAATGGGACAATTGTCACAGATACCGTTGACAATTGTCCCCAATATCCCCAAATGCCTATATCAGCCTAAAATACTGGCCGTACTGATATATCAGTCGGGCTCTAATAATAATTTGTATATTTAATAAAAAATAGTATGTGCTTCCTGGTCATAAAATATATTAAAAGAACAGGTAATTGGTACTATTTTTTTAAAGATGTGAAAAAAAAATACTTTCAGTATTCTGACCTAATTAGGTGAACTCCCTTTATTAAACAATAATAAGAATGAATGTTATTGAGCATGCATCAGGATAATAAGAATGAATATTTTATTGTCCTTGTAACAATTACATTGAAATTAAGTGTTTCCTTACAGTGTTGATTTAGAGTTTGTTTTTTAAGACAGTTCTGCGTGGAAATAAATCTCACACAAAGACAAACATATTCATACGATCAGTCACAAAGTCTTCAAAGACTTTTTCCCAAGAGAAGTTCTCATCTATTATAGCATAAAAGCTTTCAACCAAGTATTCAATGAGTGCAAAAAAAGATATTAAAAAATGGGAAAATGATGCGAGAGAGAGAAAGAAAGAAAACTGAGTGGAGTGTAAAGATGTAAGATTTTAAAGAGGCCCAAACCACAAGAAAGTCAGGGCTGCGAGCATGCTGGACATTCCCTGAGCTGCTGCTCATGTACTTGGAGGGGAAAACGAAGCCTTTTCAAGACAGGGAAAATGATTTCAGCTGTGAAAATTGACAGCGTCCTTGTAGCTGAAGATAAAGAGGGAGAAAGAAGGGAATCCTGCCGCTTTAACATAACTTCTGCTCACCATGCAAACTGCTAGGTCCCCATCATTTTCCTTATCCAACTTTTACCTCACATTAGCAAATGAAACGGTGGAAATCAATTCAGCTATGCAACATTGACATCATATAAGCTTATTTTCAATATTTTGATAAAACCTATTTACCACTAATGATAAAATCACTATCATATTTGTAATGTGACTGAAATGGAAACCGAGGTGTTTTAAGCATTTCAAAAACAGAATGAGTGTTATTTTTAGCCATCATGGCATGCACCATCAAGATGTTTACATATGCCGGATATTTAGTCTTTACTTTTCTATCTTCTCACATCTCATCTTCCAGGGTGGTATGACAGTAAATCTTGGTTTCAGACGTTGTGAAGCAATCATTTTATGAACAGTAGACAATAAAAGCATAGCTGCTTAGATGAATCATTTAATTATAACAACGGATGTAATTAGCGGTGGACTTTAAACAGAACTGCAGCAAATAGCTACTGGGACTCGGCCATATTTCTTGCAATAGCCACAGTTGGTTACAGACTGTAAACACACATTGGTTTACATGATGACAGACTCTCCCTATGACTTTCTATATGCAACATGCGGGAGCATACACAGTCAAATTCAGCTTAGATAAAGCCCAAAACTGAGCCAGCCAATGACACGTTAAGTTTCTGATCACAGGGTTACCCATCAAATGAATCAGAAATGTGATTATCCTAAATTGGAAGGCAGATGTGAACAGTGACGATGGTGAGGATAATGCCTGGTTAGGAATGGAAAGATGGACACAGATAGTGGTGAAACATAATTCCTGGGCTTCACTGCAGAAAGGGAAGTGGTGAGTGTTGGCTTCTGTATGGAGAGGTTACATGAGTGACTTTGTCAGTGTGTCTGCGCACACAAGATAAGCTTGCAACTTATATTTCTGTGCATCAAATGCATGGCTACGCACAGGAAAGTGATAAAGTTTGAAAGAGCATTTCGTAGGTCTATGTACATACAGAGTGCTACATGGTCATGTGTGTCGATTTAGACCAGGGTGGGGCATTTTAAGATGCAATCTATGTGTAAGCAGATGTGGGCACCACATCCACAAAGCTGCAAGTCCTCTAACTACCACAAACTGAACACTGTTGGGCAGTATGTTTGAAATTACATGGACAGTCTTTCTGGTTTTGGGGGCAAAAGTCTGAGAAAATCTTCAGACATATATATTTTTTAATGTCCACAGCTTTATCACCAGCTGACAGGATAACAAGAAGGCCAGTACGCCAGTTGAAAACTGACAAGTTTCCGAAAAGATGGAGCTTCTGCAGCCATTGAAATAATGCACACTGCTGCCCTTTCTGCCCTAGTTTTACAGTAAAATCATCTTGTGATGAGAGGGACAGAGTTCTAGCTGTTTTGGTCAAACTTTGTAAATGATGTTTGATGGGGGAAGTTGTGTAAAGGTCATGGATGTTTTCACTTACTAATGTTAAATTAATATAGAACCATGATGTGGTCAAGATAGTCTCTTTGTCTACTTAGAGAGGAGTCTGATAAATGGCAACTTCTGACACCTTCAACAACTGAGCTGTGAAGCAGAGGTTGTCTTGACCTCGCCTCTGTTGATAACGGGTATTTAAGCTTTTACTAACTCGTTGTCTGCGAGCAGACCTTGTAATCGGGGCGTCGTATAACATCTTGTATGCCTGTTTTCAATGCTGCACCCCCTTGCAAGTATTAAACTTGGGTTGAAAAGATCTTCCCACTTCCTTGCGTGGCTTATTTGATTAATAAATTGATACAGTAATTAAATTATCCAACACACAATCTCATGCAATATAAGATTTCACACGAGCCATTAGTGCTTGAGATATGTGTTACGGATGACTTTCAGCTACCAACACACTAGTCATGGTCACATGACTTGTGTGATGGAAGACTCACAAGGTCTTTTGTTTCATTATTTTGCTGATGATTGTCAGATTGATTTGCCCTTAAAACCCAATAGTTCATGCACAATTCATCCTCTGTTAAAATGTCTTGATGACATTAAAGCATGGATTGCTTTAACTGACTGCTGTAATACGCTTTATGTTGGGGCCAGTCAAGTGTCTCTTATGTCTTTAGCTTGTCCAGAATGCTGCAGCTCGGCTATTGACAGGAACTCGTAGCTTTGAGCATATTTCACCAGTTCTGTCCTCCCTTCACTGGCTCCCTGTACATACCAGAATTGATTTTAAAATTATCCTGTTGACCTTTAAGTGCATAAATGGCCTTGCACCCTCATATCTCTCTCAGCTACTACAACCATATTTTCCTTCTCGGGCGCAGCGATCATCTGATCAGCTGCTTCTGGTTGTACCAAAAACCAGGTCTAAGCTCAGATGAGATCAGACTTTTTCAGTCTCGGCCCTAAACTCTGGAACATTGGAACAATCTGCCCTCCAACATTAGACAGGACCCTTCACTTCCTGCTTTTAAATCTTCTAACAACACACCTGTTTTCACAGACTTAACACAGTGTGATTTGATTATTTCATTGTTAGGTGTTATGTTTTTCTTTTGATGTAATTACATTGTTTTTTTTTTCTTTAATTACTACAAAATAATTACTTGATTTTAGTGTTCAGCACTTTGGTAACACATTGGTTAAGCTGCTGTTTTTAAATGTGTTTTATAAATAAATTTGACTTGACACTTAATCTAGCCTAATATCTAAATTAGACTGAGTTGTATGTATGTTTGTGTTGGTCATTTAGCTATAGTGTCCATCTTGAATTGGACTGACTCCAAGGAGTTGTACATGTGCATCCAAGTATTCCTTTAAGAAAGTTTTGCTAAAATCTAAGATATGTTTGCTACAAGACTAGTTCAGGAGATGTTTTGGTGAAGCTAAAAATGCATGAAAACAAAAATCAACAGTTCCTACAGACTAGAAGCTACTGATACTAATATCTTTAGTCTTAAAAAAAGAAAAAAGAAAAGACAGTTTAAAGCAAATAACATTTTGACACATCTTGGAGAAATCTAGATAGCGCAGAACATTGTGGCATTCCAGACGGTCCCAAACACCAACAAATCAGCCGTTCTCCGTCTCCATGCTCAATGCAAGAACCCTTCAGATCTCACACACTGGTGCACAAAGCAATGGAGATTTAAGTGGTCCCACCTCTGTGCTATTCTGTTGACTTTCCTTTTTCTTCACTTCACTTGCAGCTGCACAAAGCATTAGGCACCACTTTTATCTCCGTCATTACATGTGTTTGCCAGCTTCATATCTGCCCCACTGCGCTCTCTTTCACACACGCATACGCTCTGTGGGGCTGTGGTTTTGAGGCAGCTATGACACAATCCAGATTCTTGCTGCCTATAGCAGGAAAATGTGTTTTGTGCTCAACTATTTTCCTCTAAAGTGCAGATTTTCCCTGTCCTACAGCTTTGATCCATATAGCACTGGGGGGGTGAGAGGTTGTGTCAACAGTCTTGTGTTTCAGCTGGAGGGCCCGCCGGACCCCCACAGTGTCACTCATTGGTCTCTGCCACTGTAGGAGCAGTTATACCCTATATGAGGATCACATCCTAACTGCACTGAGATTGTAAACCTCCTCAAAGAGCACGTGAACATTCACATGGTGCACATGGTGGCATGCGTAAAAGAAAACAAAGAGAACACCAGACAGTTTGACTTGGCTGTTTTTTTTGTGTGTCACCTTAAAAGAAATGTGACAATCTGTTATTATGCCAGTGTTGTGTGTGTGTGATAAAGCAGAACATGATAAAGCTGTTTGAGTTTGGATTTAAAAACAGGGGAGGTGTCAGAGATAGCAGCTGAAATGTGTAAAAGGAACATCAGCCTTAGACTTGATAATAAATCTTGCACACCTCATGGTTGTAAACATGCAAAAACAATTGCTGGTGTTTGAACAGTGCTTTCTGAAACAATTTCTATTCATCATGAAAGCATAACTTTGACAAAGGAGCTTGGGCAAGAAGTGAGTTTGTCTTACTGGTAGATATCTTTCCGCAGCACAGTTCGGGTCAGCGGGTTATCGGCCTGAGGAGCCATGCTGAGGGAACCCAGCTTTAGGACCAGCGTGTCTTCCTTCTTCTCATTGAAGTCTATGAGGACGCATTCAACAATTAAAATCCAAATCAAAGAAATGGCTAAACTTTTAGTATGATATTTCAATGTACAAGTGTCTCATCAATGCTGTTGCATTTTTACTGTCCTATTGTGAATCAAAAGACACAACTGTCTCACCTGAAGCAGTCTGTCTGTCTTGTGCTCCGTGGCAGAAGACCCTGATCACACTGGTGTTGATGTAAATCAGGGGCAAACACCTTGAAGTTAATGTGTGGCTCCTCATTGGCTGACCTGCTGATTTCCCACGTTCTCTGTAGCGCCTTGGTACAGTTGCCTAGAAAGTCAAAAGTAAAAAAATAATAATAAGACTTCTACTGATAATAATGCTGGTTAAAACCAAAACAAAATACTCACTATGGAGTAGTATTCAATGTTACAAATTGGGTTAGTTTGAAACATTTTACACATTAAAGCACCATCTTTGAAAATCCTATAACTTTTAATCGTTTTATTATTTATATACGAGTTTCAAGGTAATCTGAATGACTGAAAAATGAATTAGAAATCATATTTACATGAATTTAGCACAATAATCCAAAACAGTTATAGTAAGTTTATATATTTTTTTTATATTACTATTAATTTATGTATTTAGTTTACCTGAAACACCCCTGCTACGGTGGTCAGTAAGGGACAAAATAGAACAACATCGAAGGGCTGGGCAGTCAGCAGGATCTCTCTCAGGTAATGAGGTGAACCATCAGCCAGGGGATCCGCAGCGATCCTCTGGGTTGCCATGGCGACACTGCTGCGTGATGGCCGCTCAGGCCGACTGGTGAGTTTGTGACGAACGTTTTTGGTAATGGCCTGTGTGTAGGTTATTGACAGGAAGCCATGCTGCTGATGAGAACCCTCCAGCACTTTAGCTGCCGTCTGACATGAGACAGGAAAAATCAGATGGATGATGTCATCACACAAAGTGATACTAGTCAACTAATTGTTCAGTTTGTTGGACACATCTGTTGGTTGAGGACTAAGGCTTTCTCTTTATTTTTGTTAATAAGGCCAAATTTACAGATACTGAATCAATTTAACAAAAAAATTTAGAAGAAGAAGAATTTTAGAAAAGAAAAGAAGGTTACATGTTCAGCATTTAAAATCCCAGGTTTCAGTTTGATACTTATGTTTTAGGAAAAAGACTTGACCTCAGCCCAACAAAACAGCCTGGATTCATACACAAATCTACAAAGCAAGCCAAGTTGAAGCTACTAACAACAAGTCAAAATCATTTTATTATATTTAACAGTAATTAGGGAAGAATTAGCAAATCAGTCCACTTAAAGAAACACACCAGATTTTATAAACTCTTAGAATTATATTATTTAATTCCAAAGAGAAAATAACCCCAGAAAAATGTAGAAGTTTAAAGTCAGTTAACTTAAATAAATGTAATGCAGTGGTTCTGATTTAAATACAGGTGGATTGATTTAATACCAAGTAAAAAATAAAAACATCCAGTAACAGTGGGTTTAGGAGCTGTTTATATGAATTGGCTGCTCATTTAAAAATCTAGACTTTTCTTTATTTGCCTTTAATTAAAATGTTAATTGTGTAAAGAAAAAAAAACTAATATTCAGCTTAGATCTAACCTTAATAATAAAGTATGCATTAAATAGCAGTAGAATACTTTATTTTAGAATATGTTACCCATCTTTATAACTGATGGAAATGTGTGTGTCAGTGGTGAAGAAAGGCAAATCTGTAAAATAATCTGTAAGTGTTAAGATGATCCAACTGACAGAGCTGCACACAGAACTCTAAAGCCACTGTTGATGGATGTTGAACAGAGTCAACAAAATAAAGAGGAGGATTCTTACAGGAGGGAAAAAGCCAGAGAAGTGGCTGAAAGGTTCTTGCTTGCTGACGGGTCGAACCAACACAGTGCGTCTGTTCAGCTTGTCAGTGCAAGAGAGGAGCACTCCTCGACAGCTGCCCGAGCTCCGAACACCCTCCTCCAGACTGGAGGTGAGGAGAGGGAAGACAGAAACGTAGAAGCAGGAAACAGACCGTAAATTTCACAGTGAAGAGACAGGAAAGACTGATGCATCTATTCAGAACAAAAAGGGAAACAACAAAATAAAACGAAAAGCCAAACAAGCATGAAACCACTTTAAACAGTTTAAATTAGATGAAGAGCCAAATGATTAAACCCACAGAGAGCTGAACCAGGCTGAATGGTCTTATAGCACATATCAAGTACAGCACTAAAATATGTGCCACATTTGACATGACTGGAGCTTAGTGTAAAATTTCACTGGAGCTTTAAGCTCCTGTAAATGTTGAACGGGGGAAAAAAGCACTTATGCTTTTGTCAGTATTCCACACTTCACTATTTAAGTAACATTCTCCAATAATGTGTGTGTTGTTTTCAGTTGCTAGTATAAGACCATCATGAAAAAAAATAATTTATCAACAAAAGCATGGAGGCCACATCCGTCACCTCCAACACACACTGAAAAGATTGGCTATGACCACAGTTCATTGGTTTGAGTCAGCATGTGGCTGGAGAGACAGGTCAAGATTGTGTAAACAAGGCCGAATTGTTTGAATTGATCATCGTCTTTTATTTTTATTTTTTATTTAAGATGTACGATATGTTAAAATAGCTCACAACTTGAATTAGAATCAAACACATGCATGCGTGCGTTTCTCCTGTCTGTCCAGCACCAAAATAGACAAGGAACCCTAAATAGGAGCAGCAGTGAGGAACAGTAGATAAAGGTCAGAGGTCACTCTCGCTGCTCTGGGACACAGAAGAGCCTCACCACAGCCGTCTCCTTGCAATGCAGAATGACTTCTTCAGAGTGATAAGAATGGCATCCCTGCCCTGGCCTAGAGAGACACGCAAGCTTACTGGTCATCTGAAACAATGAGTGTTGTGCCAGGAGCAAACAAAAGAGCAGGTACAACACCACTATGTTGACAAAGATACAGCCTGAGCAACATTATATAACTTCAGTAGTCACAGCAGTATACAACAATGATAAAAATATACATAGTTTTAGTTCAGTGTTTTAGAAAAACAGGAAAATACAAGTTTAAGTGAAAAAGACCGTATAACGTGTTATACGGTGTCATTAGTTATTTAGGCCCCAAAAATGACTAATTTCTTCTTTTTTTTTCTAATCCCCGTTTCTTCTTCTGTCATTTTGAAACTGAAAACACTGCAGATAAGCTACTGCAATATCAGTGCGATAATCAGGAGTTATGACTTTCCATCTGTTGCATATTTTGTCATGACCGCGCCGTGCATGAATTTTAGAAATGGAAAATATGGCAGCACAAAGGAGCTGTTATAGCTGTCACCTTACAGAAAAAAGGTAATATGTTCAAAACTTGGCTGTAGACTTTCATGCATATGTTAGGTTAACTGGAAATTAAATTGTTTGCGTGTGTGTGCATGCATTGTGTGCAAGTGGTAGATTATATTGGACTGATGACCTGCCCAGCATGTACCTCGTCTGATGCTTGTTGACTATAGTTACTCGCTTCCTGCAGCCCTGACCAAAACAAAGTACATGGATGGATGAAGTTCAAATAATAGAAGTTTGTACATTAATATAGCTACTGATGATGTGTTTAAAATAGTACTCATCACTGCTTTAAGGGTAGGGAGTTGTATTAAACTTTATTGTGAGTTGTTTGAACTGCATGAATGCCCAGACCCTTCGCATTACGATGCCGTCAAACACAACCTCCCAACCTTCAAGTAGGAATCTGATGACACCTTAGTGTGAGAAGACATCCTCCCAGACATAAATCAGAGAAATCTGACAAAACAAGCCATGTGAAGCTGTTAACAACAGCCTATCATACTGTAGGTGACATTTCACACACAACTGTTGAGAGCAAGACTGTTTACTAGTGAATGATCTCTGAAAGCATTTTTCTAAGACTGATTGTGAATTGCAGGGAATGGACAATAAGACGATCTTACAAATATGGTAATTATCGTATATCTGACAACATTGATGTCAGGTTTTCAAAGTACCTTTACAATCTCCTCACATTTGTAAGGTAGACCAACTCACGACATCTTCATTTAAATGTTTCTCCCAACCAGTTGTCTTTTCATGGACCAGCTGGAAAACATCAGCTTCAATTAGCTGCTGGGAGTAAGTAAAGGTGAAGTGTCTCTTCTCTTGCACTTTCTGAGTAACAGTTTAGCCGCATGAATGCTGTTGCTTGAGAAGACATGGCTAAAATAATGAGAAACTAATCCTTTGAAGTACCCACAAGACAGGAAATGGCTCCACAATATTTAATAGTGAAGTCACCCTTTTTACCTTTTTGTTTTCATGTCCCCCTTTAAATACATCCTCTGCTCTGAGAGTTTGTCTATTCTGTGTTCCCTGTGGGTTTCCTCTGTCATTTTTCTTACCTACCCCAAGCTTTCTTGTTCCCATCATATTATGATAAAATCAGGAATTCAATTAGCTACTCTCCTCCCTTATTTGCTTGCCCTGTGTAATAGTCCATTCATTTTCCAGCAGTCACATAACTAAGGCAAGGCGAGACATTTTCTCTGTCAAGTTCGATCTAATCTGGCCCTTTGTACACAAATAACCTGGGCTGGGTGATGAAATGCCAAGCAATTATCTATTCAGAATGATTAATATGGACTCCACTCACTGTGGGCTCTTGTATATGTGAATGATAGAGATTAGAGTGGGCCAGAACCCAGAGATTCCCCTCTGTCTCCTGAACCACCGGGACTGTAACCTGGCTTGGATCATGAACTGATTCCGCTTGCCAGAACTGTGCCTGGTAAAAGTGTTGAGACCATGTTACACTGAAATAACCAAGAAATGAGAAAATTGACTAATTATGTACTTAAAGAGGCATAGAGGTCTTGTATAAAGATTAGGGCTGGCACAGTCTCAGAAGCAATTGGACACACACCTGTGGAGAACAGAATGACATAATGGCCCACAGCATCTACACGCTCTGTGCACGTCTAACCGTTGACATTGTCCTGGCTTAGGTTGATGTTCTGCACAAAACATGTGGCCTGACAAAATTATAAATTACCCAGCTAGACAAAAACAGGGAGGTCTGCAAGATGCCTGTTAGACAATCAGGTTCAAAGCCAAGACCATCACATCTATAGCTCTCTGACCTTTACTGACATGCTACAATCCATCTAAAGGCATTTTAAAACCTGGCAAATCAGAATTAATAACTATTGTTAAGTTGTGAGAGCATTTCTTGGTTATAACGGGGTTCACAGAAGTCAAAAGGGCTTGTTAGGATTCAACTCTGTCCTGCTCTCTGGATCCATTTGAGCGCGCGATACATGGGAAAACAAATAAAAAAACAAATGATCATTTAAACCTGAATAACACACAAATAAAAGGTTGGATGCAGCACGTTGCACCGCAGTTTGCTGCCTCATTATCTCCTCAGTTGTAGACAGGGGGAAATCACCTCCTGCTAAGTCATATTTTCCCTGAAGAGCAAAACTTCAGGCGCACACACACAGCGCTCACCGAGATGGCTGACTCCACGCTAAAAGAATGTGATCAAAGCAAAGAAAATATAATTCTGAAAATAAATATAACAAGGCCACTCTTAAGGAAACATGATTTTTGCATTAGACATTAAAAAATGAAACATTTGATTTGCTTTTTTTAGAACTAAAAACTAATTGCCCCCATTTTTTAGGGCTTGCTAGGGGTGTGGTGGAGGTTTGTGATCACTATTACCAGAAAATGTTACTGGTTGTTGTTCTCTTACAATGTAACAATATTAATGTAAATGCAAAGGTGATAGTCTACGTTTATACATGCAGTTTTCTTTATAGATGCACACGTACCTGCACTGGTAGTGGTTGATGTTGAAGCTGCCAACTTTACACTTAATCTTCGTATAGATATCCTGCACATCTACAGAGGCGCTCAGGTCTTCCAGTTCACTCAAGACACAGATTTCTGAAAGAAAAGCAAAACAGAGTTTGATGCTTTTTACAACTTAAGATGAGGAAGTACACTGGAGACAGGGTAACTCAACAATGTAGAGTATATAT